CCTTGGCTACAAAACCACTTCTGACGACTTCTGATAACTTGACAAACCTCTGACAAACCTCTGACAAAATATAGAACAAAAATAGGAAATCAGAAAGCCCTGAAACAGACGACCTGAAAGATCCCGCCTCCGTCATCGAAGGAAAGGACCTTATTCACCTTCCCAACTCTGTCCTCGTAAGGAGCTCAGAGAACAACTTATCTCAGCAGGGGGGAGGCACCATCATCACCCTGAAATTCCTTTCCCCCACAAGAATTCCAGTCTCCGTCATCAAGGAAGTGAACAACACTGCCCAACGCCAATCGCACTAAAGGTCGCCCTCAACAGTCGGTACCCATTGGACAACCTAACTACCCAGCGCCAATCGCATCTTTCAAGGGCTCCCCCTAGCCGGTACCCGTTGACCAGCCCTATTTTACCCCCTCTCTATCCTTGCAAAGAATCCTTTGATGCCTTCCACCCCCAACTTCAAAGCAAGAAAACCCCAAACCCTACGGGAGATTCCATTTGACCATCTTATGAGCCCCCTGTTCAGAAGTCTGACGATAATCTAACGAGTAAAATTAGGTCGAATTTAGAAAAACCACATATCGACTCAAAAAACGTAGGAATTCGATTACAAACAGGAATTAGATTTATACAATTATTTAAGAAAAGAGATACGAAATAATACGAATTTAAAATTAGGTATTCAAAAAACGATGTTCATTAGATTTTGAATCTCTACCATGGAAAAATTAAGAAGGAAATCAAAGATAAATCAGAAATATTCGGAAAATTTGAGAATAACACTAGAGCAAAAGGATTATGGAAATTGAGAACTAAGAAATCCTTGTTGAGAAAATTCTAACTACGGGTTCCAGATTGTGACTCTTGCTCACGAAATACAAGTATTGAGAAAAATTACATCCAGAAACCATCTGAGAAGATTAGAAAGACACTAAGTTTAGACTGATGCAACGTGGACTAATACAAGCAATTATGTATGGGAGCTCTGAAAAAATTCAGAAAAAAAACAGCCCCAAATCAAACAGCCAAGCCATGCGTGCACATAATCCTAATCCAATAGACAGCAGTCTCCCATCCCTTCTTCTTCAACCAAACCACAGTTACCTCACACCCCTCAAACCCTACCCCTGCATCCTTGGGGAAGGAAAACTCATTTCCTCCCGCTGCCAGCATCTGTGCTCAAAGCAAAGCAGGCACCAAGGACATGATCGGCCATCTTCAATCCCCCGAAGAAAATCAAAGATGGTGTGACACTCCCTCGCCAAACCTGTTGACGAGTCGCCACAGGGGGGGTTCAAAACCACCTAAACTATACCCATACCATACTGTTGAGGAAGAAGGAAGGGTTTTCAACCAAGGATGACAAGCCCTAACCTAGTCCGGCAACTCCACACCCCCTGCCCATCTGCCCCACCCTCCTTCCCCTACCCTACTACCCGTGGATGTTCCCCGTCACTGCCCAACATACCCCATCTCCTATACTGCGCGCCACCATATCTTGTCGCCAGCTCTCCCGTACGTGCCCTTCACTCACCTCGCACCCTTGCGTCTCCGCCCATCGCATCGCCTGGCTCTCCGACACATCCCGCGTCACGCCGCTTCGTGTCTGAAATTGCTCCGGTGGGGGCGCAACGCTCCCGGTCGCGATGCGCCCCCCAGTGTGACATGCCTGTGACGAACTAGCTTCTGTAATGCGCGACTTTCGGCGCGAAGTGCTAAGCGGGGTCCCACATCGATTGGATGGGTTGATGGAAAATTGCATGTGTGTCCTTGCCTTTTTGTTGTTTTTTCGTTCTCACAGGAGCCCCTGATGACAGTTGGGGATAATTCGGGAATACATGGGGAAAAGGGGCGAAACCTGGTCGGATGCGGAGTGCGCGTCGAGTGCACGATTAATAAACGTTGACGTCCCTTCTTTTTCGTTTCCCTTCTTTTAATTTTGTTTTGTCGAACTTTTGAGCGCGCTGACATCGCGTGGGAATTTCGGTGTCTCTTTTTGAATTTCTTTCTTGAATTTTCTTTTCGAATCTTGGTCGAAGCCATACGACCTTCGGAATTTTGATTTTCTTTTCCGACCTTTCTTAATATCGGCAGGCTAGCTAGGAATTTAGGAATTTTGGAATTTCTGTTTTTCTGGGGCGCTGCTCTGTACGTTCGCGCGCTTTTTCTTGCTGCTGCGCCGGAACCTTGATTGATTGGCGCCTTAATCCTTTTGCAACTGTAATTTTTCGCGCACACTTTTGTAACTGTATCTTTCTGTTTCTTGCTTCTTCTTCTTCCCGGCTCGTTTCTTCCTTCCACCCCCCCCCTTACCTACATTGAGCAGCCGCGGTTGCATGTTCGGATCGATGGGTGGAGTGGGTACGTCCCCCACGCCGCGGCCCGGCCATGCAAACGTAGGCATTCCCTCTCCCCCATCTATCTACTTCCTTGTAATTCCGTGTTCTTCGCGCATGCATGCACACTATAAATTCTGGCTGCGCGATTAACTTGCTCTCTTAGCAAACTGAAAGCTCGGGGTTGCGCGATGTGAGATCGGCACACGAGCGAAGTAAGAGGTGAGCAGAGGCGGAGTTGGGCGGTCCGACGGGCTGACGCCGAATACGCGGGGTTGACGTGGGCCACGACGGACTGTGGGCACGGGCGAACCTGACGGGTGCAGGAGGGTTAAGCGGGATGACAACTTTGCGGGTTGGTGCGTGACGACGGACTGTCCGCATCGGGGAGAGAGAGAGAGAGAGAGAGAGAGAGAGAGAGAGAGAGAGAGAGA